CCAATTCTGCCAGAACAAAAGGTCTACATTTCTAATGCGTCATGTTTGGCTTTTTGAAAATGTTCTTTGTTGTTAGTTAGAGTGTGGAATAAATGGGCAGATAACAAAATAAACCTTTGATGATATGTCAAACTTTTCAGAGCAGCTGTCGAGGAGGTTAATGCAATTAGGCACTCCTGAAGCTGTATGATATTCCTTTCAACAGGACACAAAAGCTGTCATTGCAGACTTTTCAAGCTATCAAACCTGGAATAACAGTATTTCCAAACAAAAATACTTCATTTCGAAATTTTACATGGAATATTAATGCAAACATTATTATAGTATTCCCAAGTACATCCCAATAATGAATAATATTCATAAGGTCTGACAATGTAATTCAAGTTTGTAAAGTTATTTTATTCGACATTCAAGGTACGGGTCACACCGTAAACACATTATCTGGAAAAGTGTTATGTCCCTGTTCTAGCTGTCTCACGGTCCCTGAACTATATTTTCTCTTTCTCCACAGAACTTTCTGTATGCACAATCCGGGGTAATAATAATCAAATTGGGCGCTTTCAGCACCCTTATGGTTGGAAATAGCGCCATAGAAATGCACTATTATTATCATTAACATCACCATAAGAAGTCTAAATTCTCCTCGTGAAAATCTCACGTCTCCCGGTGCCTGCGTTTAAATTTACATGGAGTTATTTGCAAATGTTTCTATCAACCATATTGTCAGAACCTAAGCGTTAGTCTATCACTACTCTGTCAAAGGCGACAGTTTGTTGTATTTATTTAGTTAGCCTGCTCGTTCAGACTATTCTGTTGATCGTATAAAATACAGAGATGGTACATGTGTCATATGCGAAGTGCACCTCAGGTACCCGGCTTTAACAAAACCCCAGCTCTCAACTATAGTCTGTTTGCAGTGAAAACGTACGGATGAATTTTACTTTAAACAAAAAAGTAAATCAAATAAAGTGAAATTAAGATTGCGAATCCTCATAATTTGACCTTGCAAACTGAACATTTAAATCTCAGAATTTTATTCAACTTAGGATAAAAGTTGTTTAACAAACGATCATAGTTTCAAATCGCTCTTATTGGTTTGTATTACAAGGGGATATGCACATTAAATGAAACACCGAGAACATGTAGGATTGGTCTAAGTTAACGCTCATCACGAACCGCACATGCATTTGTTTCACTGTTCCAACTACTGCTCTTGCCCCTTTGTAATACAAACCAGTAATGGCGACTTGAAACTATGATCGTTTGTTAAACAACTTTTATCCTAAGTTATATATACTTCTGAGATTTAAATGCTCAATTGGCAAGGTCAAATTATGAGGATTCGCAATCTTAATTTCACTTTATTTGATTTACGTTTTTGTTTAAAGTGAAATTCATCGGTACGTTTTCACTGCAAACAGACCATAATTGTAATTGTGGAGACTGAATTCAGGTTGTTAGAACTTGGCTGATGGAGTTGTTCTTCTTTCAGATTCTCAATCACTTATAGACTGTAGTGATGTAGCGTACTTTAAAATTTTGCGGCGTAAAACAGTAAAACAAAAAAAAGAATACAAAGAATACAAAAATATTCTTCCCTTTTCACATGTGAATATTCTGAGTTGCCGTGTCCTTGTGTTGCTGCGATGTTGCCACCTGTTCAATAAACCTCACCCTGTCGCCTATTCCAAGCAATGATTAGCATCTCTACCAATCTTTCTTATATTCTTTGCCACAAGAAAATCAAATATTTAACCCACCATTATTGTTATATGTGCGTAAAATAATCATCATTGTTATGATTCCCACACAATAAATAAAGAAATCATAAGAATCGTTTCTTTGGAGACATAAATCTAATTCCGACTTTCGAAAATAGCCCCTCATAAAAATTTGTTTCATTTGCGTGTTACGTGGAACTGTGCCAAATCGCTGACTTCATTAGATTGCAGAACAGAATACGATTGAACACTGGTTTGTTTAGACAATGGATGAGAGGCGACCAAGAATAGCAAACCTGTGTCAGCATGTTCTATGACACAATGGACACACCTGACACAATGGACACCCCTGACACAATAGACTCACCTGACACAACACGCGTGTCGTACTTATTGATATGGCACATTGTGGTATTTCGCTTTTGTGCCAAGGCAAATACGTTTTTTCCACAAATTAGATTATTTTCTCTCGTTGCGTAGGTATCAGGTTAAATGTAGAATACGAAGCGCACCAGAACGTACTATATTATGTAATAACCAAGACTCGCTACCGTATCCCAATGCATGAAATACATTAAAATTCATTGATCGCACACTTGGTAAAACGTTAACACTTAATGGAGGTTCGTACGAATAGTTGCGAAATCATATCATGAAATGCCTAAAAATGAATTCTAAAATAAAGTATTTGTCAATCTTGAAACTAGTAACGTTATGTACCGCTTCCTAAATGTGCGGTGTACATATTTTAAGGATAGCTAAAACATCTATTGAAAATGCATTACTTTAACAAAATATAAATCAATGCACATGAAAATGATTTTTGGGTCAATTTATTTGTATCGTTATATATATAAATATAAAACTGAGGAGAATAATTCGTATCCATTAAGTATCCATTCACACAGATTTCATAAGATGTAGATAGTAAAATAGCGGTACTAAGTATACAGAATTCCTGCAAAATCAATGATGGACACCTACTGGTTGCACCATCCACTTACACATTTTGTATATATATATATTAGAAACACTACTTTGTTCCATACTAAATGTCAAGTGGTCCGTCATAAAAAAATCCTTTGATGCCATTATGAATAATCACGCCATGGAAGTACAGTAACTACTCGCATTTGTCACTGAAAAGACCTTTCAACACCTTGAACACACGCATGCCGCATGGCTAAGTATTATAGCTCTTGCTTATCCTTCTGATTACTTATTCCACCATATTGCTTAGAGAAAAGGGGAAATGGGGGAACGTGTGCAGTGCAGTGAAAGATGTACTACAATTTATAGAATACTTTGAAAATCTTGGGGAAATCCTGAACCATTTCCTTGAAGCCTAAATGGAAATCAGATGAATGAATAGCGAGGCGAGGGATTCTAAGTGGCACCGGGTCGACATTATGTGGGCTCTTCATCCTTAAAAAGTAGGGGCCTTCATCCATTATGGGGCTTTAATGTGTTCTTGGCTGGGTGATGTAAATGCAGGAGGAGAATAATTAAGTCTCCACACCTCTGACTAAGGCACCTGAATGTATGGAGGACTTAACGGGTTAACGTAATAAGAAAATTGTGATACCTCGGACAATGATCCTATGACCTTCTGGAATCTTGCGTCCAATTTCAACAAATTTAGTTGGCATTGTAGTAATCCATTTAATGCTATCTTTATGATTTGGTTTAAAGTTGTGGGTTTAGATTTAGAGAGGATTCATATGTAAGCATCGAATTGTGTGTTTTTTTTGTATACTCTCGTGTTCATAACATGATCATTCTTATCTGAATGTGAAGCCCATTTCTGGTGTCTCCCGCCGTGATGTTCCTGGAATATTGCTAAAAGCGGCGTAAAACCAAACTCAGTCAGTCAGTCTTATCTCAAACGTTGTGTCAGGTGATCTCAGCAACCTTGTCACCGCGATTTCATTGTAGAATTCATCAACTGAAAATGCTGCAAAGTCTATTAACTTCGTTTGAACGGAAACCCTACATCCTCTTAACAACAAATTGCAAAAGAAATATGGAAAGATATTTTGTGACAATCTGACGAAATCAATAATGTCCTCTTTTTCGAACCCATTTAGTTTCAACGGTTGCTAAGTAACACATTGATGTGTACATCTCATTGCATTTGCTTCCACGGCATATAATGCTGCCTGAAGATGGTTTTGTTTAATTATGGTGCCTGACAGATTACCTTGAAGTAACAATTTAATCGACCTCACGAATGGCAACGTCAGAACTGGACGCTAAACTTACATAAAATATGCTGGAATAAAATAATCACAAACGAGCACCACAGATCGTCTCAATATGACATTTGTTTGAACCGAGATTGATCTCAAAAGTTAAGAGGATTTTTAAACATAAAATCTCGCTGAATGATATTGTGGAATATTGCTGCAACAAACTTCAAAAGTGTTAAACAAATATTATTTGAAGTTTGTTGAATAACAGTATTGATCCCGAATGAACAAAGATCATGGATACTGTAACTTTCACGTGAAAAATTCAATCTTAACAATCAAACGAGTCAAAGGACAAAGGGTTCTTTGCCACAAATAAATATACCTTTTAACTTCCACGGAGAACTATGCCTGCACGCATATAATTTCTAAAAGGTAGGATTGGTCTTCATCACGATACAGGGTGAACCTATTCTTGCTATGAAAAGCGTGTTTTCATTTTGTATAAATACAGCTGATATCATTCTATGTATTTTTCTATAAGCAAAGGTTATAGGATCAAATACAAAACTTAATATTTGTTTTGTTGTTTAACGCCACATTCTGCAATATTCCAGTGATGTGACAGCGTTTGTGATCAGTTCTTGAAAAGACAACCGAGTGGTTGATATTATGAAGATCGTTCTCTGCCGATATTATTCCCAAGAACGATGTCTACACACAATATCCACGTCAAACACAACACGAGTGTCAATAACGGTTGGAAAAGCAAAGATAGTTTGGTGTGAAGTATAAAATACAACATATTCTCATAACGAAAACAGATTTGGGCAGAAAAATATGTTTATAAAAATATATAAAGTAATTTTTTCCTTTATTACTCTCAGCGCTGTGTACAGTATGACAGTAAGATCACTGCATGTTAATGTTATGTGCGAGGAATGAAAGAAGTGATGTTGTGCAGAACACTGAATATTTCCAAACACCTTCGCCACCTTAATGGTGCAATCAATATGAATTATTACTAATAAAACCAAAGAAAATAACGTATAAGGTCAATATGAATGTAAAGATAAAAGCAATAACTTACCCATATCGACAAACCAGGAGAACCAGAAACTGGAGAGCACAACGGCAGTTCATCTTCATCTGCCGAAAGTTGGACCGCCACTCCTGAAAAGGTTGAAAACTGAATGAAAGATCCTAGGTATTTGTAGGGTCGAGCACACCTGAAGGCTTGTGTGATAGAGCGAGCCATTCTAGAGATCCAATTAGGCCAATCGCATTGCAGCTACGGTATCGATCAGCTGATCGAATGTGTGAAGGAGCGCTGATGATTGACAGACAGACACGCAGTATTAGAGTTACTTTGCTGGTCTTGTTAAACATGTTGAGTGCAGCCCTTTCCGACTTATAAACACAACAGGGGTTGATGGGACCTCTATTCTTGTCGTTTCTTTCATGAAAACTCCTAAAGAGGCTTTGATACTTTTGTGAAATAGTTTTCGTAATAAAAACATGGTAAGATTGTTATTTTCTTTCAGTCTCAATACATTAGGATAGAAAGTTGTTGGTTTTTATAATAAACCTTTAAGACGACAGTGGAAGCTTGTTGGGCAGTGGAATTGACTTTTAATGACGTGGGGCAATAGGCACATTGTTCCTTGTGTCGAAATGGGACTGAGGTTTTCTCAGTCAGTGGGGAAGTGCTGTTATGTCAGCAAGAACAAACATGCGCGTGTTGGTAGAAGGGTGGAGAATAATAACGGTGAAATTACGAGTATATGGGTGGTGATGTCACAACATGAGATTGCGTGGGTATCCCTTGCCAACGGTTTAAGATGCATGCATTATCGTGGTACGCAGTGAAAGACAGATGGATGCCTTGAGTGATAGGTGAATGAAAAATATAGACGTAGATAAATGGATCGAAAAACTGGCTGATAGATGATGGACATATGTTAGATGGATGCTTAAATATGTGGATGAAGAAATGGATGTATGTGTGGGAGGTTGAGTGGGCATCATATTATGTGCATATATTTACATGTAAATGACATTTCCTTCCTCATTGTAACTTCTACTGCAGTTTCTGCGAATACTACAACTACTGCTGCTACTACTACTACCGCCCTTCCTACTACTACTACTACTACTACTACTACTACTACTACCTCTACTCCTACTGCTGCTGCAGCTGTAAACCTACGACTACGATTTCTATCGCCACCACCAACACAACCACCGCTGCCACCACATTCAACACACCAACTACTACTACTTCCGCTATTTGTACAACTACCAATCAATCCACTGCTGCTGCTGCTGATACTACTACTACTACTACTACTACTACTACTACTACTACTACTACTACTACTACTACTGCTACTATTTTCTCGACTGTTATTACAAATTATATGTGAGTACTACAACAAACGCCGAATCCGTTTCTTGAAGCTGTTGCTTTTAAGCTTTGATTTCACACCAGAAGGTTATAAAAGAGAAACCAATAATTAATAATGTCCTTAAAAACCTTGCTTGACGTTCTGTGTCAATTCTTTAATAAAAACACGTATTGGTCGGTTTTCATTTTATTGACGTATAAGTAATTCACGAACACACGCTACTTCACACGACCAAGATAATATTTACAGAGTGAAGTGAAGAAGCTGTTCAGAGGCCTTCCGGCATCAAAGCTGGATGGTCCGTTCCATATATATAATGCACAACTGGCGTTCGCGTGTCCGGTGGATGTTCACAGGTATGTATTCGTAAGCTCGAAATAGGTAGGGCTGAATCATTAATTAAACTGGGATCGACGAATCTTGATTAAACATGGAAGCTGGACCGTAATACGTAACTTCCTATTTGCCACATCGGGTGAAAAACAGTGATAAAAAATTCAAATGTCTTGAGGCCTTTATCATCTTGTTTCCAGGGAAATAGGGCTTGTGTGCTAAAACACTCACTCACCTAGAATCTACACAGGCCTACTCACTCACTCACTCACACAGAACCACTCACTTATTCACTTACTCACATAGAACCACTCACTCACTCACTCACTCACTCACGTAGAACCATTTACAAACTTACTCACACACATACCCACCCAAAACACACACACACACACACACACACACACACACACACACACACACACACACACACACACACACACACACACACACACACACACACACACACACACACACACACACACACACACACACACACACACACACACTCATTCAGAGCCATTCACAAACTCACTCACTTCCAGCAGTCCAGTTACGCAAATCCCAATTTTGACGTCGATAGTGGAGAACGCCGAAAACGCTAAGTCTCCAATGAGTGTTAGGCATGGGAACCCGTGAAGGTCCGGGTTAGAATATTGATCTTTAGTAACCCATGCTTTTCGTAAGAGGCGACTAACGGAATCAGGTGGTCAGGATCGCTGACTTGGTTGACACATGTCATCGGTTCCCAATTGTGCAGATCGATGCTCATGCTGTTGATCATTTGATTGTCTGGTCCAGGCTCGATTATTTACAGACCGTCGCCATAGCTGGAGTATTGCTGAGTGCGGCGTAAAACTAAACTCACTCACTCGTTCGATTATTTAAAGACCGCCGCCATAGCTGGAGTATTGCCGAGTGCGGCGTAAAACTAAACTCACTCATTCGTGAGGCATGGGTATAAGTGAAAATATACACAAACGTGATACAACATGTCCATAGAAATACCTGTTACATCATAGGATGGCACCAGATGTTTGTGACTCAGATTATGTCTTCGGTTCTAACTGAATAACCGATGCATCGCAATACTCGATAAATTATCCATAAATCAAAGAAATTACACATCGACTTGGACAGCATATACAATGACAAGGGGAAAATGCGCATATTTAGTTTGAAATGTATTTTGAAGTTTAATCTCTTATGGTACTATAATACATTCCCATAAAACTTGGAAAACATTGAAAAGAAACTGCTGTTGAACACATATGGGTTCAAAACTGTAAATTATATACACAAGAAGAAAGGTAATTGCTTCTATATTACATGTGACCTCATCGGTCCTTATCGATGACGTAAGCCTCCTGATGACGTCATTGCTCCCGCTCCTCCGATAACTCACGTTCCAGCTGCTACATCGTTCTGCAGGTTTCGGCATTGCCCTGTCTGCCGTTCAAAATGATCCCAGAGATGTTCTTCAGGTGAAAGGTCGGGTGACGGCCACGACAAACCAAATACGTCACTGCTGTTGAGAAACTCTGCATTATTCGAGCCAAGTGTGGCCTTTTGGTATTTCTTATTTTGGAACAATGTCTCTCATGGTAGTGTTTTTAGAAAGGGAAGGGCAACTGGCTACATAATGACATCCCCGTAACGTTGGACCTTCACGGTTCCAGGGGTGATGATAAGACTTGTCTTCCGCTCTCGACAAATACCGCCCCACACATTGGCGCCGCCACGTAGAATAGGATGAATCTCTCGGAAGCAACACTGGGACAATGGCTTGACTCGCAGTCTCTCTAGTCGTATTCGATCTTAAGGAGTTGAGTCTGGCTACAGAGTGAGCGGATGAGTGAGTGAGTAAGGTTTTACGCTACTCACTATTCATGTACTATCACGGCGGTGGACACCAGACCAAATCATGTGGGGAATCGAACCCGGGTCTTCGGCGTGACGAGCAAGCGCTTCAACCAAACCGCCGTCCTTCACGTCACATAACAGCATCCACGTAACCAATCCCGTCGCTGCCAATATCGCACAGTTGTCTTACCCATGACGTCTATGATCACGGGTCAAGGACATTCTACGCTAGCATCTGAAGGCCCGAATGACTGTCTGCTGAATGGGGTAGTCAGGTCTCGTCACAATGCAGATGTATCGTGAACAGATATCAGACCTCTTGTGGGATGGTCACACGTGGTCAACCTGATATGTGTCCTGCCCACTGGGTGTCCAGAATGATTGTCTTGCTGAGGTGTCTGACAATGGTCAGTAAGCTGCAACAAGAACCTCTATAGTCGCAATCGGCGCCATTGTAAGACGCATTTCTCCATTGAGAACCTTTCATGGGTTCTTCCATGAGCTGCTTGCTTTTATGCCTTCTGTAATGCCTTCTTTCACCCTGAGCTATCACCAAGAACCCGTTTAATACATAATTTACGTATAACGTTTTCTCCAAATGTAGTGCTTGAGCAGTCGTTTTCAACCTGAATTAGTTACTTTCAACCAAGGTGTTTAAATCAATTCAACTATCTAAGAACGCACACAGTTTACGTGTGAAAACAGATGTAGGACATAATGATTCTCTGGATAGTAACCGTTAAATATTGTTGATAGTAACTGTTAAATGCTGTGGGTAGTAACTTTTAAATGATGTGGGTAGTAACCGTTAAATGCTGTTGATAGTAACTGTTAAATGCTGTTGGTAGTAACCGTTAAATGATGTTGATAGTAACTGTTTAATGCTGTTGATAGTAACTGTTAAATGCTGTTGGTAGTAACTATTAAATGCTGTTGGTGGTATCTGTTAAATGCTGTTGGTAGTAACTATTAAATGCTGTTGATAGTAACTGTTAAATGTTGTTGATAGAAACTGTTAAATGCTGTTGATAGAAACTGTTAAATGCTGTTGATAGTAACTGTTAAATGCTGTTGGTAGTAACTATTAAATGATGTGGGTAGTAACTGTTAAATGCTGTTGGTAGTAACTGTAAAATGCTGTTGGTAGTAACTGTTAAATGCTGTTGGTGGTAACTGTTAAATGCTGTTGGTAGTAATTATTAAATGATGTTGGTAGTAACTGTTAAATGCTGTTGGTAGTAATTATCAAATGCTGTTGGTAGTAACTATTAAATGCTGTTGGTAGTAATTATCGTTAAATGCTGTTGGTAGTAACTATTAAATGCTGTTGGTAGTAACTATTAAATGCTGTTGGTAGTAACTATTAAATGCTGTTGGTAGTAACTGTTAATTGCTGTTGGTAGTAACTGTTAAATGCTGTTGACAGTAACTATTAAATGCTGTTGGTAGTAACTGCTAAACGTTAGCGCTGTTGATAGGAACCGATAGATACTGTTGATAGCAAGTGTTAAATGATGTATGCGGTAATTTGTAAATATTATTTACTTAAGGTATTTAATTGAGTGCTCA